GTGGGAAAAGGTCCAGAGAGAGGCCCTAACAGGTCTAGAGGGAACTGGAGCCTGGGAAGCTCCAAACTGGGTTAGGATTCTAAGCTCTTCTCTGCACAAAACATCTATCCCGCTGCCTGCTGGGCACGTCCAGGTGGATTCTGACGGGCACCTTAAACTTAAGGTGGCCAAGCTGAGCCTGTCATAGTCCCCCCAGATCTACTACTCCCAAAGTATCCCCCAAACTCCTTAGTAAGTATCAACTCACTTCTCCCCATTACTCAGGCCAAACCTTGGGATTGTCCTTGACTCCTCTCTCCCAAGCCATCAGCAAATCCTGTTGACTCCACCTTCAGTAGTTACCCAGAACCTGACCATGCCTCGCCACCTCCACTGCCAGCCCCTCTGGTCCAAGCCACCAGCATCTAGCCCAGATGATTCCACCACTGGCGCTCGGCAGTCTCTCCTCAGCCCAGCAGCCAGACAGGGCCTGTTAACCCTAGGGGAGGGGGTGTCATGTTAAGTTCTACTTCATATCCCTCAGCTCCAAACCCTCCGATGGCTCCCATCTCACCTGGAGCAAAAACCAAAGTCACCCCAACTCCATTCCCCGCCAAGCCTAATACCTCTTTGACCTCATCGCCAACCTAGATGCCTTCCCCTCACTGGACTTCCACCCTGCTGGCCTCCGGAAGCTCCTTCCAGCTCTGCCTGGAAAGCTCTTTGCCCAGGTATTTGGAGGGCTGGCTCCCTGACTTTCTTCAGGCCTTTTCTCAAATGTCACCAGGCCACCCACTTGAGAATGGGTGCTCTCAGCCTCCTCCCCTGCTTTCTCTTGTCTCAGCATTTATTCCTATCTAACACACCATAAGTGATACATATTTATTTTATTATCACTGTCCTCTTGTTAGAATGTCAGCTCAGTAAGGGCAGGAACTTCTATCTGTTTTATTAACTTCTTTTTTTTTTTTTTTTTTTTGAGATGGGGTCTCACTTTGTCACCAGGCTGGAGTGTAGTGGTGCAATCTTGGCTTACTGCAACCTCTGACATCCGGGTTCAAGTGATTCTCCTGCCTCAGACTCCCGAGTAGCTGGATTACAGGCATGTGCCACCACACTCAGCTAATTTTTGTATTTTTATTAGAGACCGGGTTTCACCATGCTGGCCAAGATGGTCCCAATCTCCTGACCTCGTGATCCGCCCGCCTCAGCCTCCCAAAGTGCTGGGATTACAGGCATGAGCTGTTTTATTAACTTCTATATCCCCAGGGCTGAGAAGAATTTTGGTGCTGAGTAGGCAATTGAGAAATATTTGTGAAATGAATAAACAAATGGTTGCCTTGACACTTATGGGGAAAGCATATGTAGAAATGAAGAGCTGGGAGCTGCATTGGGTGTGGTGGCTCACACCTGCAATCCCAGCTACCTGGGAGGCTAGGGCAGGAGGATCGCTTGAGCCCAGGAGTTTGAGACCAGCCTGGGCAACATAGTGAGACCCTGCCCTTAAAAATTTTTTTTTTAGTTAAGAATTGCTCATAGGCACCTTAAGCTCATATTGCCATCTCTGAGTCAGTAGAACTCAAATTGGATGAATCTGGATGAACGGGGGCAGGGCAAAGAGGAAAGGAAAAGGTGCAGGTCATAGTGCTGGATGTTGTAGACCAGGGCTTTGGAGCATAGCAGAGAAGGGGTTAAATTGTGGCGCCACCATTTATTAGCTTAGTGGCTCTGGGGCAAGATTTGACATCTGTGAAATCGATAATAATAGCTCGTGTGGTTGCTATATTAGAAATAATTTCTATAAGCTATTTAGCACAGCGGCTGGCATCTACTAGATGCTCAGAAAAAAGTCAGTGTTATTATTATTATTATTAGGATGAAGCAAATAAGTAGTAAGTGGCCTGGGATGATCAGTTTTTTATTGTGGTTTCCTGACCAGTACTAGAGGCTAAGGAGGCATTTAGTAAATACATCTTGCTTGATTGAGTGGTCGGGCCCCATGCTGTCTGTTTTAAGGTAGGAAATCCCCTTAAATTAACCTGGAAACTCATGGGTACTAATGTGTCCCTCTGCAAACACAAGTGCTTCATAAGAACAAAAACAACACGAAAAGTTGTTGGAGTCCTACATCTTGATTGTGGCATGGGCCCCTCTGAAATGACTCCCCAGACATCACATTTGTGATGGGTTTTGGGGAGTGGCCAGCTCTACAGATGAGAACATTTTAAAACTGGTTTCCCTTCTCTGTTATCACTGGCTCTTGGATGCCAACACGGTCGGAGTCTGGAAATGAGCCACTTGGAGCTGAGGACTGGCCTGGTCTTCGTGCCAGGACTTGAGTTGGGCCCTTAGGAGCAGACAGCCTGGCCTTGCTGCACCTTAGTTGTTTTTTCCTGAAAGTGCATTCCTGTTTTATGATACATAATGTCTTGCGTGTTTGAAAACCCTGTTGTATGCCCTGGCAATTCCTTATTCTTATTTTTAATGTTTGTGAATTTCATGACTTTCTAAAAAATACAGTTGACTTGCCACTGCCTGTAGATGATACATAAAGCAGATAGATTTTAAATGCTGTCAGTTCATTTACACCTGCTACAGTCCATGTTTCAAAGTGGAGAAAAAGCTGAAAAGCCATTAAAAATATGTAGAATTTACATGTAATGGTCCGATATAGTGATTATTTGTCATTTTTTATATAATGAAGCCCAGATGTGCTATATATGGTAAGCCTATTTCTACTAAGATCTCTGCAGTTATTTTGGACATGTGTGCATGTGTTTGTGTATATGTTTGAGACTGGGGTGTGGGTAATTAATAATAAGAAACTTTAAAAAAAAAAAAAAGAGATGAAATCTCGCTCTGTTGTCCAGGCTGGAGTGCAGCCTCAAACCCCTGGGCTCAAGCAATCCTCCTGCCTCAGCCTCCCAAGCAGCTGAGATTATAGATGTGAACCACTGTGCCTGGCCATAAGAGGCTTCTTATATTTGAACTTGGCTGAAAAATTGAACAGTAGAGACAAAAAAAGCAAGGCCGTGTGATGCGGACTGGGCTCCTGGCATCCAGCAGTTTTTAAGGAGGTGACAGTTGAGCTGAGACTGAAATGAGGAGAGGGAACCAGCGCTGTGGGGTTCAGAAGGAAGAGCCTTCCAGGCAAGGGACAGCAGATGCAAAGGTCCTGCAGTTGTGTGGCTGATGCCTGGCGAGCAAAGCAAAGAGAGGCAGAAGAGACAGGGGCAATCTGCGGGGCCTTGGAGGCCATGAGCAAAGTTTGGATGCTATTCTAAGTATAAACTGGATCATCAGTAGAGTTCACGTCAGCCTGTAGCTGTCAGATCAAGGGTGTCCAGTCATTTACCAAAAGACCTGCTTTTCAGACTCCTGACATTTGTTCATTATTCATTCATACATTCTTCATTCATTCATCCTCCATTCATTTATTCATTACCTTCTTTGAGTAAAGTGCTATCCTACCCGGTTACAAAGACCAAAGACCAACAAGGAAGGGGAGTCAGTATCAAATAGGCTTTGCTGGGTATTTCTACAGGCACAGAAGGCAGACAAAATAGGGAGGCCAGCTATCCCTGGAGCTGAGGAAAGGTCTGAAAAGAGGGTGTGGATCTGAACTGCATCTTGAGAATGGTGTTCTGCAGGCAGCAGGTGGGGGAGAGGGATGTGGCCATGTTTTCAGGACTGGGCAGTCCATGTTTTCATGTCTCCATGAATCTGATGACTATACCCCATATAAGTGGAATCATAGAGTATTTGTGTTTCTGTGACTGGTTTATTTCATTTGCATATCTTCAAAGCTTGTCCATGCTGTAGCATGCAGCAGAATTTCCTTCCTTTTTAAGGCTAAAGAATATTCCATTGCATGGATATGCCACATTGTGTTTACGCATTCATCCATGGATGAACACTTGGGTGGTTTCCACCTTACAGCTATTGTGAATCATGCTAAGCAGAGATCTCGAAGGGACTCTTTAGGGGGAGGGAGAACCTGGACAGAGGCTCAAAAGGCAAAGGAGGAAATAACTTCAAGAACTGAGCACCATGAAGAGTGAGATCCAATGGCAACCAGAAAGATAAGACTTGCACAAGTCCCATGAGAAAAAGGACTGGGTCCCCACAGAAAGGCAGAAGGCTTGACTCATAAGCGCCTGTCTCCTGGAAAACTGTTGAAATTATACCAATGATATAGAAGTCCATTCCTAATGCTGCAATAACACTTAATTATACTTTTTTAAAAAATGCAAACTGTTTATCTTTTAGAAACTGTGCCATGTTTCCAAGGATACATTTCTGTCCAAAAGGTGATCGGTGGGGAAAGGCCTTAGAAGCAGTTTCCAAAAAAATTACCAGCCCACAAAAATGTATGCGGGCTCCACCCAGGCCAGTGGAAACCCAAAGAAAATAACACGAAGGCCTTTTTCCCACCTCTCCTGTCCTTCTCAGAATACATACAGACAGATGTAGCCTGCCTTGAGAAAAAATATATTTGGAATTCCAGACCCACTGAAAACAGACTAAAGGATATGCTTCTGATTTTAAAAGGAATTATTCATTTCTTGAAGAATTCACCCTACTAGGGATTTCGGTGAGGAGCTCACTGGGATCTCCATCCATTTATTTAGCAAATATTTGTGGGCCTGAAATATCAAACATCTGAGGAGCTTATAATTAGTTAAGTATTTACGTGTATTGATATCATCATGTGGACAGTTGAGAGGGGAGAAGGCACTAGACAAATTTAAAATTATTAGAAACCATTGGCAACTAATATTCAGACCCTAAGTTAAAAACAGGATATATCTCAGGAGCAAATCTTTTGTGTAAATCCTGGTATTTTTACTGCAGACCCTTAAAATGACAGACGGGTGAGTAGAATTACTTCTGGAAATGGATATGATTCTATTAATTAATTCAATTAAATCAATATAATTCAATTAATCGCCAGCCTTAGTTCACACTGATGACCGTGCTCATCAGAGAGACTCAGCATGCAAAAGAAAAGACTCATCAATTTGCAGTTATTTAATTTAACGAACTGCGGGATGGTGGAGTCAGCAGCAGCGACTGGGCCGCAACATGGCGCCTCCCACCTAGACTTCCGGTCCGGAAACTTCCACCTTCCTCCCATTTACGTGGGCCTGCATGAGCCTACTTCTCTTCTTTTTTTTTCTTTTTTTTGAGACGGAGTCTCACTCTGTCACCCAGCCTGGAGTGCAGTGGCGCGATCTCGGCTCACTGCAAGGTCCGCCTCCCGGGTTTACGCCATTCTCCTGCCTCAGCCTCCCGAGTAGCTGGGACTACAGGCACCCGCCACCTCTCCCGGCTAGTTTTTCGTATTTTTTAGTAGAGACGGGGTTTCACCGTGTTAGCCAGGATGATTTCGATCTCCTGACCTCGTGATCCGCCCGTCTCGGCCTCCCAAAGTGCTGGGATTACAGACTTGAGCCACCGCGCCCGGCCTCTCTTCTTCTTATACTTCCGTATTGTCTCCCTGCGGGTCCTTGCACAGACCTTGGGTTCCTTCGTCTCTGGATTCTTACTGATCTCCGTCTTCTCCCAGCCGCCTTGTCACGTCTCTCTGAGCTATGTCAGGAGGAACGGAAGGGCACTTTCTGACTACTTTGTTAGCCAAACGGACAAACTTCCCCCTCCCCTTTGTTGTAACCACACATTCAAGGCTTCCTTCAGTCCAGCCCCATCTTCCTTTTCATTGCCTCCTTTTCACTACTCCAAATGACCTTGCCATACTTTAAACGGGTCTTGTACTTTCTTATCCCGTCTCTGGAATGTCATTTCTACTAAAGAAAATCCTACTCTTCCCTCAAGACCCTTCTCTAATCCCCTCTTGCCATGGAACCTTGAGATTTTCGTTGAGGAGTTAAGTTGGAAAATATAAACTAGAGCAGAGTCTCTACCATGGCACTATTGACATTTGGGGCCAGATTATTCTTGGTTGGGGAGACTGTTCTGTGCACTATAGGATGTGGAGCAGCCTCCCAGGCCTCTACCTGCCAAAAGCACATTCCCCCTTCCCCAAGTGGTGACAACCAACTGTTTCCAGACATTGCCAGATGTCCTGAGGTGGGAGCTAAGGTGAACAGAATTGCCCCCCAGCTGGGGGCTGCTGGACTAATCAACCAGAAGTGGCAAAGACTGCAGGCAAATTGCCTCAGCACTTAGATTTAGCATTGCAAGGCCTCTTCGACAGGTGGTAGTGATTTGTGCGTCTCATTTCCTATTCTTGATTGTGGCAAGGTTCTGGAGGATGGAGACAGCTACTCCTGCCACAGTTCCCACAGGCCATTGTACATAGGGCTTCATATTTAACACGTGAGTGAATGACACACATAAGCCCGAGTGCTCTTCAGAATGGCAAGGCCTATATCAAGATGGTAAACGTACAGTTCTTAAAAAAAAAAAAAAAATCACGCAGTCGGTGCCTGAGATCCAATAACCTTCAAACTCCATGTTTTCGATTTGGTCTCAATTAACATTCCAGCTCTTTCAATATGTACTTTTCCTTTACCAAATTTCAAAAGAAATTTTAATCAAAGACCCCTACTGTTAATTAATTTCCCTTTTTACCCAGCCAAAATTGCAAATGAAGTTCTTTTTCCAGAAAGTTCGGGGAGCAGGGAGGGGTTTTATAACAGAGCTGCTGCTGGGTCTCATTGCTAGGAGCTGAGTACGCAGTGGAGAATATGAAATCCCGAATTCTATGTCCCAGCCCATTGCAGTGGCTTGATTTGTCTCTTGTTTTGCTTTGGAACTTTTCAAAGATTTCACTCTGTTAAAATGTCAATTTGGAATAAATATAGAGCTGTTATGTCTATTAGAATTGTTTCAGCAACGAAATGTGGCACTCAGCATTTGTCGAACCAATGAATTCTCCTTTTTGCTCTGAGGGAAAGCAAGGTTATAGGGCAAGTTGTATTTTAGCCCTTAGCTTTTTTTTTTTGTGGTTCAAACAATTAGTGAAATATTTGAAAGCTCCAGACACTTGGGGTCACCCCAAAAAGTCAGCCCTGGGCCACGAGCAGTGGCAGAGGAAGCAGTTACAGAGAATTAACAGAGTTACATAAAATTTACTCACTTTGTAGACAAATATTTCTAACCTTGGCTCCCTTTCTTAAAGATCTATTTCCCCAGCTTTGTTCCCCAACTCAAAAGCATTTCCCAACACATGGATCTGCTACCACTGGATCTGCCAAAGCAGAATCCTCTTTTTTTTCCAGTTCTTTTTTAGGCCTTCCCAGTAGGCTGAGGAGAAAGTCTCTTGTGGGTGTTAAGGTATCTTTAACCCCTCTGTAACACTCCTGACCTCTCATGTTTAATGAGGAACAGACTTCAAAACTCGAGAGCTGACTGTTAAAGAAAAATAGTAAATGGTAGTATTGGTGGTCCTGGAAGGTGCTAAAACCAACAAAGAGACACTGCCTCAAGATCATTGCCCAGGTGGCTCTGATGAACTTGGACGAAAACGCATCTCGCTGAAGACTCTCTTTATCTTGTGGCCTCTTTATAGGTGTTATTATCAGCCAAGCACTCACTGCACTGCCTCGGTGCAGGGACAGCCCCCATTTCTCAAGTTCCCACAATGGAGCCCCACATTTCTAATTAGACCAGTAACAGTTCTCATCAGGAAGAGAGGTCATTTTTCATGCAAGTCAAAATATAAGCCACTTAGAGAGGCTGGGATAAACTTCATGGGTGGCAAAGTTCTTTTATTGTTTCCAAATAGATACTCTGAAATAATTATATGTTTAGTTGTCTGGTTACAAAGCTCTTAGATAAAATAACGTATGACATCATTTATCAAGTCATTTGCCTTCTCTGATCTATATAAGAATGTTCAATGCTTTGTGATAACATTTTTGATTCTCATATAAGAAAAGAAGAAAGAGGGTTTTTCAAGAACAGCAGAGAGTGGTGTGTTGGCCACAGAATCAAGCAAACGGGCAAAAAAGCAGCCCTCAGTAAGGAGTAGCCAGACGTTAAAAGTAGTGCCTGTTAGATCAACAAGGTTATGTTTTAAAAATAAAGGGAACCTGGCACGGTGGCTCATGCCTGTAATCCCAACATTTTTGGAGGCTGAGGTGGAGGATAGCTTGAGGCCAGGAATTCAAGACCAGCCTAGGCACCATAACAAGGCTCTGTCTACACACACAAAAAATTTAAATTAGCTGGGCCTGGTGGTGCACACTTGTAGTCTCAGCTACTCGGGAGGCTGAGGTGGAAGGATCACTTGAGCACAGGAGTTGAGCACAGGAGTTGGAGGCTGCAGTGAGCCGTGTTTGCACCACTGCACTCCAGCCTGGGTGAGAGGGTGAGACCTGTCTCTAAAATAATAATAATAATAATTAATAATAATAAAGGGTTGCCATGATATTACCTGTGGGTACCTACTATGTGCCTGGTGCATTACATATATTACTTCTAATCCTTGTAAAAGCCCAGTGGAATTGGAATGATGATCATGCCCTCAGAAGGGTAAAGATATCTTAATGCATGTCTCAGTCCTTTGGGCAGGTAGCTGAGGAATATTTCCTGCAGCTAAACTGCACTCAATTTGCCTTTCTCCTTAGTTGCTTCCCCGCTTTGTTGCTTCAGAAAGGGTTGGACCCAGGGTCTAGGAAGAAAGGCAAGGCCCAAGTGAAAGAGAGATGTGTGGGTCCCAACCTGGGCACCCTGCTCTTGCCAGAAACCTGAGTAGCCTGGACCACTCGTTCTTCCTCGCCAGGGTCTAGTCCAAGGCTATAGATGGAGCTGTCTCCTCTGTTGCCCAGTGTCGAAGGGTAGGGGTCACCTCATCTTCTCCCCACTCTCCTTCACCCCCACTAACCCACTGCCCTCTTTTCTACTCACTACTTCCTATAGATCCCACCACCCAAACTGGTCTTGTATTGATTCTTCCCTTTCTATTTCGGATTATACTGTTCCAATTCAGACCCTCTCATTCAGGATTGTTCAAGTAAACTTCCGATTTCTTACCTTAGCTGAAGGGTAGAGCACGGGTCTTCTTGCTCTGTGTTCTTCCAGATCTGGTGCTTCTAGCTGCCCTCAACAATGGCCTTAAGATGGCGGGGGACCCTGGGAGGGGGAGACCGCCCGATATTGTGAAACACCATGGAATACCAGGAGTGCACTGAATTAAATCATGTGAACTCATCATATTTTATTCATGCAACATGATTAAATTATAAGAAATGAGCGTGTGTGCAGTATCAACTGTGAGCATACGTTCTTTAAAACTGCTGTTGGCTGGGCACGGTGGCTCATGCTTGTAATCCCAGCATTTTGGGAGGCCGAGGCGGGCGGATCACAAGATTAGCAGATCGAGACCATCCTGGCTAACATGATGAAACCCCGTCTGTACTAAAAATACAAAAAAAATAGCCGAGCGTGGTGGCGGGCACCTGTAGTCCCAGCTACTTGGGAGGCTGAGGCAGGAGAATGGCGTGAATCTGGGAGGCGGAGCTTGCAGTGAGCCGAGATCATGCTACTGCACTCCAGCCTGGGTGACAGAGCCAGACTCCGTCTCAAAAAAACAGACAAACAAACAAAAAACTGCTGTTGATTGGGAGAGACAGACTGGTGCAGGGCTTCCCAATAATGTGAAACCTGCAGGGTATGACATTATTTTTTGTTTTGTTGTTTGCTCCTCTTCATTAGCAGATAAGAGGAAACGTCTACCAAAGGTTTAAGAAATATTGATAGGGAAAATGTTTTAAATTCGAGGAACCTAGCCAATAAATATTTCTGTAGATTGGCACAAGTGCCATTATTTTATTTGAGCAGTGCCTTTATTTTATTTGAGCAAAGAAAGCCCACAGGATGTTTTAGTATTCCAAGGAAGTGGGGATCAGCAAACATTCTCTATAAAGGGCTAGATAGTAAATGTTTTAGCTTTTGCGGCCCAGATGGTCGCTATCTCCACTACTCAGCCCTCCCGATGGAGCTTGAAAGCAGATGTAGACAACATGTGAGAGCCTGGGCATGGCCATGTGCCAATCAAACTTTATTTATGGATGCTGAAATGTGAATTTCATGTAATTTTCATGCATCGCAAAATATTTTGATTTTGATTTTTTTCTAACCACTTCAAAATGTAAAAGCCATTCTTGGCTCATGGGCCATACACAAACAGGCTGGCGGCTGGGCCAAATTTGGGTGGTAGGCGGTAGTTTCCTGAGTCCTGCCCCTATGGTGGAGTCCAGGGGCTCTGACTCACATTCATAGACTTTCTCCAAGTGGTCCATCTTATTTCCCCCTTTATTCCCCGAGCTCCAACCAGCTTGGTCTCTTGACCCCTTCCCTGCCCCACACACCCTCCCCTTGTCTACACCTTTGCCTGATTTTCCCTACCCCACCTCCAGCAGGGTCCAGGACGGGATGCTGCCCAGACTCCCCTGCCCTGCTGTTTATGGCACCCTGTTCCATCTGGAGTCTGCACCTGTCACCTTTTGCCACGTAAGGAATTATCTGTGTACGTCTCCTTTTCTTTCTTACCCCATCCATACAAAACCCTTGAGGATAGAGGCCATGTCTAATTGTATTTGTGGGACACCACATAGAGTAATTATTTGTCAAAATTACATGAGTTCTTACTAGATAGAGATCACATCTACCTCTAAAAATCATTTTGCTTACTTTCTAGTAAAATAGGATCTCTTAAGATACTTGTGAACTCTTAAACTTACCCTAAGATGATTTATTCTAAGGGTCTTCTAGATCATTACCGGCCAATACAGAAACATAACACAAGCTACATGTGAAATTTGCAATTTTCTAGTAGCCGCATTTTATTTATTTATTTTTGTTTTTATTTATTTATTTTTTTGAGACGGAGTCTCGCTCGGTCGCCCAGGCTGGAGTGCAGTGGCACGATCTCGGCTCACTGCAAGCTCCGCCTTCTGGGTTCACGCCATTCTCCTGCCTCAGCCTCCTGAGTAGCTGGGACTACAGGCACCCACCACCACGCCCGGCTAATATTTTGTATTTTTTAGTAGAGACGGGGTTTCACCGTGTTAGCCAGGGTGGTTTCGGTCTCCTGACCTTGTGATCTGCCTGTCTCAGCCTCCCAAAGTGCTGGGATTACAGGCATGAGCCACTGCACCCAGCCCAGTAGCTGCATTTTAAAAAGTAAAAAGAGACAAGTGAAAGTAATTTAATAATACATTTCATCCGATGAACTGTATTGAAAATATTCATTTCAATATATAATCTATAGGAAAAATTATTTTTGAGATATTTCACATTCTTTTTTGTGTGCTAAGTCTTAGAAATCTTAGTTCAGACCAGCCCCATTTCAGGTGCTCGGCAGCCACGTGTGACCCTGGCTTCTATACCGACTGCACAGGTAAAGGTGTTAAAGTCAAGGCAGGCACAAGTTTTACGTCAACTCTTCCTTTTAAAAGGCGACCACTATATTGGCTACTTACTGGCGTGCAGATACTCCATAGCCGTGAAAACATAAGGTCATTGCAAAGTCTGAGTGGTGTGGGTCCACCTGACCTCAGTGTTGTCCATTTTCTAGTGACCATCGCTGGACTTTGCAACACAGGTGGTGCCCTCCAAGCCACCTGAGTGCCCTCCAAGCCACCTGAGTGATCTGTCCCCAGAATTCCCTAGTGACCATTTCAGGACTTTGGGATCCTGTGTGTAGGCCCCATAATTCTGACTGCTTCTCTTTTACATTATAAAAATCTTACCTTTTCATCATAAAAAAAAAAAATCCAAATCGTACAAAAAAAAAAAAGAGCCTCTAGCTGCTTCTTCCTCTCTCCTCTGCCCCTCCCACCACTAACAAAAGTTTGGTGTGGATGCTTTCACATATTTCGCAGGCCTATAAAATATACACACGAATTTTTTAGTATTTTTTGCATTGAGATGTAATTCACATGCCATAGAATTCACCCTCTTAATGTGTACAATTTAATGGCTTTTAGTATATTCACAAGGGTATGCAGCCATCACCATCATCTAATTCCAGAGTCATCACCCCAAAAAGACACCCTATCCCCATTAAGCAGTCACTCCCTACCTCCCTTCCCCAGTCCCTGGCAGCCACTAAGCCACTTTCTGTCTTTGTGGATTTGCCTGTTCTGGAAAGTTCATGAAAATGGAATCATATAGTAAGTAGCCTTTTGTGACTGGCTGTTTTTAGCATGATGTTCTCAAGGTTCATCCACCTTGTACCATGTGTTGGTGCTTCATTGCTTTTCATGACTGGAATAAGACTTTTTTTGTGTGTGTGTGCAAAAAAGAGATATTATTTTGCTCACTTTTCTGCAACCTGCTCTTTTACCTAATATTTAGCCTGTATATTTCCTTATCACTCACTATTTGTGTTTGTGCTTCATTCTTTCTACTAACGGTCTGATATTTCCACTCCTGCCCTAAGTAGTTACTTAGCCTTTTATTTTATTTTATTTTATTTATTTTTTTGAGACAGAGTCTTGCTCTGTCATCCAGGTTGGAGTGCAATGGCACAATCCAGGCTCACTGCAACCTCTGCCTCCTGGGTTCAAGCAATTCTTGTGCCTCAGCCTCCCGAGTAGCTGGGATTACAGGCACATGCCACCATGCCCGGCTAATTTTTTGTATTTTAGTAGAGACAGGGTTTCACCATGTAGTCCAGGCTGGCCTCGAACTCCTGACCTCAGGCAATCTGCCCCCCTCAACCTCTCAAAGTGCTAGGACTGCAGGCATGAACCACTGCACCTGGCCTTAGTTATTTATTCATAGGCATTTTGGTTATACCTTCCACTTTACCGCCAATGCTGCAGTAAGCACACATGCCCAAATACATTTGTGTACACATGTGAGATGTTTGCACAGTCACGGGAGGGAAATTGCTGAGCCTGACGGACTTCCTCCCCTTGGCCTTAGCTTGCCGCCACTTACATCTGCACTCCATTCCTACTATAAAGGTGACTTTCCACTTTTGTCCTCTCCTGAAACTGCACTGCCTCCAGCAGGACCAGAGCCACCTCCTCACCTCCCCGACACCACAGGGCCTTTTTTACCACATGCCTGTCCTTTGCCCTAAGTCCCCGTCCCACTCCTTGCCTCTCAGACCAGCACAAACTCTTTACCTTCTTAACATTCAGAGTAGCAGGTCCCAGACCCTTTGACGGACTCGTGAAAACTTGTGTCTCCACTCTCCAGGAGAATGCACACTGAACTCAGCCACAGTGTTCTGTGGGCCACTGAGGAGGTGCTAGGACCCCTGGGCAGCCTCTCCCCCGGCCCCTCTTCTGGAACGTGTTCCCCGTCAGCTTGGCTCTGCCTGTCCTACAGCCCACGTGTGACTGACTCAGCCTCATTCTGTCACCGTGAGCTGCGCCCATGCGGGCGTGTGCCTCTCGGGGAGGCCTGGCTGCTGGGCTAGTTTGCGCAGCCACAAGCTCATGCTTGTCGCCCTTGACTCCTGCGCGGACTGGAGCCTAGCAACGGCGTGCCCCGCCCCTCCGAATTCCCTCTGGACGCGCGGCTGTAAACTCTGCTACCTTTATTCTCCAGCAGAGCACTCATTCTGCTGCCTTCTCAGCGGAAGACCTTCTTCCAGCAGCCCAGGATGCAGCCTGCGGGGCCACCCTCCGTCCCGAGCTGCTTTCTCGGGTCATTGACCCCCTGCTGCCATGGCCCGGGTTTAGGGACTTGAGCCCCTGCTCTCTCCAGCCCGAGGAGGGAACTCAGTTGTGCAGCCACTAGATCCTGTTCTTGAACCTCTTTCTTGCTGTTATAGTTGGCTTCTTATTATGGTACAAATTCTTTCTCTTTAACTCTATGTAAACAATTTAAAACCAGAATTCCTGTGACTTAATCCTCGATAAAGTTATTCATTCTTAATCTGAGCTTTTCTCCCATTTTAAATTCAGTGAATCATAGTTTTCTTTTTTAACATCCTTTAAGATTTCTGAGACACCAACCTCCACAGTTTTCCTCCCCCCACCCCCGAATGTAGAATCTTCTAGAAACTCCCTGCTCCTTTATTCTCCAGGGTTAATGTTCACTGAGGGCTTGGCCCAGAAAGTCTACAATTCTCTGACTCCCAAACTGGGACATAGTCTCATTTCAGATTCCTGATTGTAGAATGCCTACTTCCCGCAGTTCGTTCCTCATTCAGTCCCTCGGCTTGTTCTGTTGACGGGACTCATGTAAACACGTTTTGCTGCTTAGACTCAGCGTTTCTGAACCAGACTTCCCCACACCTACTTCTCTCCTGTCACTCGAGATTTTCACAAACAGTCTCTTAGGGATCATGTTGAACAGATATTTTTGTTTGTTACTGAATTTTATTTCTGAAAATGTTCAAATTGTACTTTGTAAGTTCTGGTGCCTAGTTTTCTCATAATTATGAGAATATTGCATTTTACTTCTCCTGAGGTGAGGAATGCAGGAAATGCTTTTAGTCTCTATGTCATTGTTTCTCTTCGTGGCTGGCATTTGCCAGCACTCAGCGTCATCTTCTTTTTTCTTTTTTCTTTTTTTTTTTTTTTTTTGAGACGGAGTCTCACGCTGTTGCCCAGGCTGGAGTGCAGTGGCGCGATCTCGGCTCACTGCAAGCTCCGCCTCCTGGGTTCACGCCATTCTCCTGCCTCAGCCTCTTGAGTAGCTAGGACTACAGGCGCCCGCCACCGCGCCCGGCTAATTTTTTGTATTTTTAGTAGAGACGGGGTTTCACTGTGGTCTCGATCTCCTGACCTTGTGATCCGCCCGCCTCGGCCTCCCAAAGTGCTGGGATTACAGGCTTGAGCCACCGCGCCCGGCCATCTTCTTTTTTCAATTGTGGTAAAATTCACATACAATTCACTTTTTTTTTTTTTTTTTTTTTTTTTTTTTTTCAGATAGGCTCTTGTTCTGTCGCCCAGGCTGCAGTGCGGTGGTGCGATCATGGATTACTGTAGCCTCCACCTCCTGGGCTGGGACTATAGGTGCACGCCACCGTGCCTGGCTAATTTTTTGTAGAGACAGGGTCTCACTATGTTGCCCACGCTGCTCTCAAACTCCTGGATTCAAGCAGTCCCCAGCCTCAGCCTCCCAAAGTGTTGGGTTTACAGGCATACGCCACCACACCCAGCCCAAAATTTACCATTTTAACCACTTTAAAGTGGTTTTCATTTGGTGGATTTTAGGATTTTCACAGTGTTGTGAAGCCATCATCACTCTCTAATTCCAGAACATTTCTGTCCCCATGAAAAGAAACTCCATACCTATTAGAAGTCAATCACAGTCCCCCACTCCCCAGCCCCTGGCAAACACCAGTCTACTTCTCGTCTGTGTGGGTTTTCCTCTTCTGAATATTTCCTATAAATAGAATCATACAATATGTGAACTTTCTCGTGACTGGCTTCTTTCACTTGTGTGTATATAAATATATATTTAAGCCCTGGAAGATTGGATAATATTGTTTTGAAGTTCATCCACATTGTAGCCTGTGTCAGAGCTTCATTCTTTTTCATGGCTGAATAGTATTCCACTCCATGGATGGACCACATCTGTTTACGCGTTCATCCCTTGATGGGCATTTGGGTTGTTTCTACCTTTTGACTATTACGAATAGTGCTGCCGTGAATATTTGCGGACAAGCTTTTGCCTGGACATATAGCTTCATTTCTTCAGGGAATATACCTAGGAGTGGAGTTGCTAAGTCGTATGGTAACTGCATGTCAACTGTCAAACCGTCCTTTCACATTCCCACCGGCAGGGAGTGAGGGCTCCAGTTTCTCCACATCCTCACCAACACTTTTATTTTTCCCTGTTTTTACTATAGCCAGCCTAGTAGGTGTGAAGTGGTATTTCATTGTTGTTTTGATTTGTGTTTCTCTAATGACTAATGATGCTGAGCCTCTTTTCATGTGCTTTTCTCTGTCTGTAGATCTTCTTTGAAGAAATGTATTTTTTTTTTTTTTTTTGAGACAGAGTCTCACTCTGTCACCCAGGCTGGAGTGCAATGGCACAATCTTGGCTCACTGCAACCTCACCCGGCCGAGAAATGTATATTCAAAGGTGTTATCTGGGCTGGCACGGTGGCTCATGCCTGTAATCTCAGCACTTTGGGAGGCTGAGGCAGGAAGATCACTTGAGCTCAGGAGTTCAAGACCAGCCTGGGCAACATGGTGAAACCCTGTCTCTATGAAAAATATAAAATACAAAAATAGCCAGGGGTGGTGGTGTGGGCCTCTGGTCCCAACTACTCCAGAGGGTGAGGTGGGAGGTCCTCTTGAGCCCGGGACATTGAGAGTGCAGTGAGCCATGTTCATGCCACTGCAGTCCAGCCTGGGTGACAAAAGCGAGACCCTGTCTCCAAACAAACAAACGAACAATCTAAAGATGTTATCTCGTATAATAATTTTCTCTAATCCACAAGTTTCTCTTCTTCTGTGAAATGTCCAAAGACCCTGAATCGTGAAGGTCCTGAACACATGTAAGAGCTACACAGGGTGGTGGAGGGAAGGGAGGGTGGCAGTTCATTCAGCCGCTACAACAAAAATCTTAGAAACTGGCTGGCTTCTGAACAACGGGAATGCGTTGCTGTCAGCTCTGGAGGCTGGGCAGTCCAAGAACAAGGCACTGGCAGATTCGGTGTCTGGGGAGGGCCTGCTTTCTGGTTCAGCTTCTGCCTTCTAGCTGTATCCTCACATGATGGAAGGGGCAGGGGAAGTCTCTGGGGCCTCTTTTGCAAGGACCCTAATCCCACTCCTGAGGGCACCATGTTCATGACCTAATCATCTCCCAAAGGCGCCACCTCCAGATGCCGTCATATTGGGGGTTAGGTTTCAGTATGTGAGTTTTAGGGGGATACAAACATTCCAACCATAGCACAGGGTCAGGATCCACATGACATGAGAGCTGGCCTTCGCCTTCCCTATGACATTGCTCCAGCTCCTGCCCATGCACGCGCCCTTTCCAGAGACTGCCCAAAACCCCACATCCTGTGCCTCTGAGATGGAGACATGACAGGAATGTTGGTCTTCACCCCCAGAGTGTCCTTGACCTGCTGGACACAGATTTCTAGAATGGTATTTGTCATTACATGGGCTATTTGATACCTGCCCTTTTATTTATTTGGAGTTATTTTAGGCTCTGTTTTAAAGACATGAGTCCAAACATCTGAGTCTAATACAGAGTGGGCAAACTAGCCCATGGGCTAAATCCAACTCACTGCCTGTTTTTGTACAGCCCGTGAACTAAGAATGCTTTTTTTCCTACATTTTTAAGTAGTTGGAAAAAATCAAAAGAAGAATATTTTAGGACATACAAAATTATCTGAAATTCTCATTTCAGTGTCCATAAATTGTGCTTGCTTCGGCAGCAAATATGCTAAAATTGGAACCATAAATAAAGTTTTATTGGCACACAGCCACAATCATTTCACCCTACGATGGATGGAGTTGAGTCATCTTGACAGAGAATGCCCGACCTGCAAAACCTAAAATATTTGCTATTCTGCATTTCACAAAAAAAGCCTGCCAACCCCTGGTCTGACACACATTACTTGGCTATATGTGATTAGTACTCATGTGTATATGAATGTGATGCTAATTTTGAGGTTTATAAAATCCCTTAGGCTCTTCAATGGTGTTTAACATATTTTTGCTTCATCTAAGGGAGAGAGGAATAATATTTACTTTGTTATCTTCTCCTGTTTGTTGTAATTAAAGAAGAGTCTTTGGCTACATCCATCTTGCAGGATGAATTTCATTGCCTTCTTATACCTATGAGAACTATGCCTTTAAAAAAAAATGCTGGGTCGGTGCAGTGGCTCACGCCTGTAATCCTAGCACTTGGGGAGGCCGAGGCAGGAGGATCACCTGAGGTCAAGAGTTCGAGACCAGTCTGACCAACATGGAGAAACCCCATCTGTACTAAAAATACAAAATTAGCAGGGCATGGTGGCGCGTGCCTGTAATCCCAGCTACTCGGGAGGCTGAGGCAGGAGAATCGTGGGAGGTGGAGGTTGCAGTAAGCCGAGATCACGCCATTGCATTCCAGCCTGGGCAACAAGAGTGAAACTCCATCTCAAAAAAAAAAAAGAAAGAAAAGAAAAAAAAGCTGTAGTGCCCTGGTCTTCCTCTGTGGCATTCTTCTTTGTCTTTGAAGGGCTCTGTCTCAGGGGGCATTGTTTTGTCTTTGCTCTGGTCTCTGACTCACCAACACACAGCTCTGGGTGACTGTCCCTTGAGGACTGTGGCTGCTTCCTGGCGGGTTAAGCCAGTTCTGGAAGTGGGTGTGCAGCTTTTATGGCAGCCAGGAGTGGTTTCTGAAATTAATTACTGCTCTAGATGATGATGTAAGGAGTGAAGCTCCTGGGGGAGAAACTGCCCCCGTAGAGAAACCCAGCACCTGTAACCGGTCACCTTCATCTCAAAACACGCTGTCCACCTAAGAAGTGAGAATGTGTCATGGCTAATCAACAAGGAAAATAATTTCTGTTTAGCTGTCAAAAA